GAGGAGGAGCTTGGCCCCTGCTATGGGAGCGGAAGGGAGGGGCTCAGCAGCCTGGGGACAAGACAAGCCCCCCAGGAGCCTCGCATGGGGACCAAGAGCCCACTGCAGCCTAGTCCCATATCCCATTTTGTAGGAAGTTACAGAAGCCCTGAAGGATTACGCCCTCTAGTGGGCAGAGAGAGTAGTTCAGGGTCTTCCCGCCATAGCTTACTCTACAGTGCAACTTTCACATCTTTGGTGTCCCCCACTGACCCTGAACGTTTTACAAGGAACAGACTCTTAGAAAGACGGCTCCACCCACTTCAGTCCTCTTACATAATCCGGAGGAACGAAATGTCAGAGGCCAGGCCTACCTAGGACACAGAATGTACTGTTTCGTTTTGGTTTTGGCATTAGTGAGCCCTCTAGGGTCCTCCAGCTCCTTTGTTTTGTAGATAACGTCTCCAGGCTGGGCTGGCAGCTCAGACCGACACCCTCCTGGTCCACAGCCTCCTGAGTAGCTGGGATTCCAGGCATGTACCACCACCATCGTGCCCAGATACTGCAGCTCTTTTTTTTTTTGCGGGGGTGGGGGAGGGGGAGGGGAGAGAGGGAATATGACCTTGGGACCTTATGCATGCCTCAATCTGTGATCCTCTAGATTTCAGCCTCCTGTCCTGTGTAATGAGACTTTCATGTGTGAGCCACCAGCTTTACTACAACTATCTTTTTTTGTTGTTGTTGGTTGTAGGGCTTGGACTCTGGGCCTGGGTGCTGTCCTTCAGCTCAAGGCTAGTGCTCTACCACTTGAGCCACAGCACCATTTCTGGTTTTCTGGTGGTTTATTGGAGATAAAGAGTCTTACGCAGGCTTTCTGTCCGACATCTTGACGAAGCCACAGCGGTCTCTCCCGCTCTCCAGGCCTTGCGATGCTGCCCAAGGATGACAAGAAGAAGAAAGATGCCAGGAAGTCGGCCAAGAAAGACAAGGACCCAGTAAACAAGTCTGGGGCAAGGCCAAGAAGAGGTCCAAAGGCAAAGTTCGGGATAAGCTCCACAACCTCGTCCTCTGTAAGGAAGTTCCGAACTGTAAGCTCATGACCCCTGCTGTGGTTTCTGAGAGGCTGAAGATTCGTGGCTCCCTGGCCAGGGCAGCCCTTCAGGAGCTGCTTAGTCAAGGACTTATCAAGTTAGTCTCAAAGCACAGAGCTCAAGTAATTTACTCTAGAAATACTAAAGGTGGAGATGCCCCCGCTGCTTGTGAAGATGCATGAACAGATCCAATCAGCTGTACATTTGGAAAAATAAAACTTTATTACACCAAAAAAAAAAAAAAAAAAAGTCTCACGCCTTTCCTGCCAGGGTTGGCTTTGAATCGAGATGCTCAGAACTTAGCCTCCTAAGTAGCTAGGATTGATTACAGGCATGAGCCACCTGCACCCAGCTTAACTACAGCTATCTTAAAACACGCATGTGTTCTCTGGGGTAAAGGAGTTACCCCATCGAGGCTGGTAGGGGTAGAGTCCATGAAGAAGCAGGAGAGGGAAGGGCAGAGCTGGTAGCTGAGGACTATTTACAAGTTCCTCGGGGTTCCCCGAGGGGGGCTTGACTTCCATCCTTTTATCTGAGGGTCCCTAGTACTGTGTGGGTGTAATAAAGACACAGCATGGCAGAGATAGTTAAGAAGCCATTGGAGCCGGGCTGGTGACTCACGCCTGTAATCCTAGCTACTGAGGAGGCTGAGATCTGAGGATCACCATTCAAAGCCAGCCCACGCAGAAAAGTCCGTGAGACTCTCATCTCCAATTAACCATTAGAAAATCAGAAGTGGTGTTGTGGCTCAAGCGGTAGTGCTTGCCTTGACAGCAAAAAAAAAAAAAAAAAAGAAGCCATTGGGGCAGCCCTTCAGCAGATGCAAAGGGGGTGGCCTGGTCATCACTGCACATCCCAGCCAGCCAGAGGCTCCTCCAGCTGTCGGAAGGGCTGGCCAGCCTCCATGACTTTCTATAAGTAGAGTGCATGCCACAAACCATCTGCCTCTGCTGAGGGGCCTAGGACCTAATGACCTGATTATAACGCCAAGCCAATGGAACAAGCTCAGAAACCTCGGGCCTGGAGCCAGGTAAGAACGCCACATTCGGCAGGCAGGAAAAACACCAGCCCCTAGAATGAATCAGGACCTGGCCACCAAAGCTGTCCATCCTAGAAACTGTGATCCATGCTTATTTATTTTCAATGTCTGTCACATCTTAATGTGAAGTTAGGCACTTTGCACAAATCCTTGCGGGGGAGGGGAACCTCTACAGAGAAAGGCAATTTGGGCATTACTTAAACATCCCTATGGGCCACACAAGACTATCCACACGGGCAGACGGCTGCATGAGAAGCATGTGTCCCGGCATGCACCCAAAGATTTTTCAGCCTTACACAGGCCGTTCCCCTCCTTGTGGAGACCGGCAAGTGAGGACGAGGGTCGGTGCTCCTACAATGATCCAGTGTAATGTGGAAAGGCAAAAACGGATCCCTTGATGACAAGCAGGCCCCTTCCTGGTGGCATTAGCACCCCCAGGATTCCTCCAGAGAATCTCAGCCGAAAACAAGGTAAACAGGTATTTGGCCAGAATGTATCTGGGTTCCTGGAGACCCCAACACAGTCATCGCTCAACAGCTCACATTCCTGTAGTGCCTGCCCCACCCACAGCTCCCACAGAGCTGTTCAAATGGTTTTGCATGTCACCCTCCAAAGATGGCAGCCACACCCACCCTCTTGTGGGTCTCTAGGCAAGAAACTCTAGAGTGGGAAGAAAGCCAGCATCAGTGGCCCACATCTGTAATCCTAGATACTCAGGATGGTGGGATCTGAAAATTGCAGTTTGAAGCCAACCCAAGCAAGAAAGTTCATGAGACTCCATCTTCAATAAACTACTAAAAACTCCAGAAGCTGAACTGCAGCTCAAATTGTTAGGAGAGCACTAGCCTTGAGCAAAAGCTGCTCAGGGACAGCACCCAGGTCCTGAGTTCAAGCCCCAAGACTGGCACAAAAATAAGAGTAGGAACAGACTCCTTAGGGTTAGATTCTGTTTATTTATAAAAAAGCATGTGGGTAAGAATTAAACCAGACAGGGCTGGGAAAGTGGTTCAGTGGTAGTGCTTGCCTTGCATGCATGAGGCCCTGGGTTCAATTCCTCATCATCACATAAGCAAAAAAAGCCAGAAGTGACGCTGTGGCTCAAATGGTAGAGCGCTAGCCTTGAGCTGAGAGACAGTGCCCAGGCTCAGAGTTCAGGCCCCACAACTGACAAAAAAAAAAACCAAACAGACCTGGAAGGTCTAGGCCAAAGCATTGACATTTCCAGACACCAGGGTAGTAGGACTTCTCCAGCACATACAGACCTCCGGGCAAACTGACCTGTAAAAAAGGTACATTCCATCAGTTTTCATTCCACACTACCAAGGGCCAACATGGGAAACTATCGGCACAGGAAACACTCTGCCAATCACAGTCCACCTTTTACCTGGATGTCACAGGCAAGGTACTCTAGGATCCTGCCCTGTGAGAGAACCCTTCTACCCACCCCTGGTCTTCCCCAGTCTATAGGCTTGTCTGAGCTCAGGAATAGTCACATGCTTGAACATCACGGCTCAAAAACTTTCTGCTGTCTCAATAAATGTGACCTCAGCCATGGACAGCCCTCAGAACCCAGCCCCATGAAGGCCTGCCCAGCCTCACTCTCTCCTGCCACTGCTCCTCAGCCAACAGCCTTTACCCCTCAGGGGGCACCCTGTTACCCCACCACACTTACTGATGACAACTACAACAGGTTCTAAGACCTTAATACCCACCAAGGACCACTCTTCTTTTTTTTTTTTGTTGGTTGTGGGGTTGAACTCTGGGACTAGGCACTGTCCCTCAGCTCTTCAGCTCAAGGTGAGTGCTCTACCACTTGAACCACAGCGCCACGTCCGGTTTTCTGTGGTTTATTGCAGGTAAGAGTCTCACAGAAGCACGGCGCTGGTGGCTCACGCCTGTAATCCTAGCTACTCGGGAGGCTGAGATCTGAGGATAGTGGTTCAAAGCCAGCCCAGGCAGGAAGCTCAGTGAAACTTTTATCTCCAAAAAAAGACAAGATCCTGGGCTGGTAAGGTGGCTTAGTATAGATTCTTCTAGAGTACAGGCAGGCAATGAGAGGGCGGTGGGGTGCTGAGTCCCATAAAGAGGTCACTGCTTCCTTGATGGCTGCTGGAGCTGACCACCTAAGACAGAGTCCATTCCCTGGTGTTCTAAACACCTAATACACACACACATAAGCCACTCCTACCACTGCAAAAAGCTCTGTTGGATAAAATCAGTATGTTTAAACCCCAAGATAATATCCCATTACTCTTAAACCAAAATCCTCCCGAGTCACCCTTCCTTAGACGGCACCCCAGACAGTGCTGTTCCACACTGCCCTGGGCTTGCTACCTGGGCACAACGGGGTTGCTCCAGCGGCCACCCTTGCTGGGCCGCTGGGGGTGTTTGCACATGTACAGCTTTCCAGAGCTTTCCAGTCTCCCTCAGGCTTCTGGTGACACATACTCTTACTGGACTGTGCTTTTTGTCAAAGCACTTACTTCAGCTTAAATTACACCCGCTACAGTCTGACTGTTTCCTGCTGAACACTGCTACTCTGTGAGAACCACAGCCGCGACTGTTCTGTTGAAGAGTGACCCTAACGCTTGCCACGGGGCCTACCTAGACCATCAGCAAATGTTTGCTTAACCAATGATACCAATGTAGCTTTACATTGTGTGTGTGTGTGTGTGTGTGCGCGTGCATAGGTTAACACTGGGGCGTACACTGAGGGCCTGCGCTGTCCCTCAGTTGTTTTTTGCTCCAGGCTAGCGTTCTACCACTTGAGCCACAGCACCACTTCCAGCTTTTTGGGGGTTAACTGGAAGTGTCCTGGGGTCGATGCCCGGGCTGGCGTGGAGCCGCGATCCTCGGAGCTCAGCCCCCCGAGTGGCTGGGATCCCGGCGCGGCCTGTTCGCAGTATCATACATGATCACCAAACGGCTGCCAGAGTGCTCACACCTGGTACTGCACACGCGCGCCCGGGGGCCGCCTGGGGTTACTCTAGGTCAGGGTCGGGCTTCCGGGTACGGGGCTGCGGCGCAGCCACACCGGAAGCCGTTCACCGGACCACCGGCCCGCGCCCACGCCCCGGCCCGCGCCCCAGCCTACCTGGGTCCCCGCGCCCCCCGCGCCCCCCGCGCCCCGGCCTACCTGGGTCCCCGCGCCCGCCCCCCGCGCCCCCCGCCCCGCCCTACCTGGGTCCCCGCGCCCGCCGCGCGCCCCCCCCGCCCCGCCCTACCTGGGTCCCCGCGCCCCCCGCGCCCCCCGCCCCGCCCTACCTGGGTCCCCGCGCCCCCCGCGCCCCCCGCGCCCCGCCCTACCTGGGTCCCCGCGCCCCCCGCGCCCCCCGCGCCCGCCCCCCGCGCCCCCCGCCCCGCCCTACCTGGGTCCCCGCGCGCGCTCGGGGCCGCGCCGCCGTCGCCGTGGGGCCCGGGTCACCCGAGGGGCTCTAGCCTGCCACACTGGTCCACGCGCCCCGCGCCACCCCGGCCCCTCCGCGCTGGCGCCGCGCGGCCTCGGGCGGAAGCGGCACCCGTTTCCGGCCGGAAGTGAGGGCCTACCATCGAGACGGCGGCTAGAGGGTCGCCGCCAACTTTCCACCTGAGTCCTCCGAGATGGTCTTAAAGGGGCCGCGGCCTGCGAGGTATGGCTCAGCGGGGTGGAGGGTAGAGGGGGTCCCAAGGGGCGGAGGCGGAAGGGGCGTCCTGTTGAACGGCCTGCTAGGGGCCTGGTGCCGAGCGAGAGTTGCCCCGACCTCCTCGTGCAGCCCCTGAAGGCCACAGAGCCTGTGATCGCTTTAGTTATTTTAGCAGAAAAGAAATCTGGGGCTCCAGAGACGCCAAGTTACTGTCCCAGGAGCAGCCAGCCGGGAAGTGGCAGAGGCGGCTTCAAACACAAGTCATTCTGCCCCAAATCCAATGCCCCCCCCCCCGCCCCCCGCCCCAGGTGGAAGGAAGGACAAAGCAGCTGGAGCTAACAAGGCACCCAATGCACAGAGCTCTGTGGCCCGAGCAGACAGCGGGAGTGCTGCCCTGGGTCTGACCCTCCACCGGGAAGGGACTTGCTGTGATAATGACAGGCCCAGGGAGATGTAAGATCGCCCCTCTGTCTGCTTACAGGTCACCTGCTCCACTTCTGGCCCAGTGAGCTGGCTCCATTGCCTTGAGCCTCACGATGTGTGGCAGAGGAGACGGTCATTTTGGGGGCCAGGAAGGAGGGAGGAGGAGGAGAGGAGAGACAGGGCACCCCTCCCCCCTCCAGGATCCACTCCCTTCAACTAGGTTGCACTGCTCCTGCTATAACCACCCAATTGTGACTGCACCAACGGATTGCTCCATTGATGAGGTTGGAGCGCTCATGATCCAATCAGCTCCCAAAGCCCCTCCTAGGGCCGCTGCTGCTGCTGCCCTGGGGACTTGGACTTGGGGGACGTTTTAGATCCAAACCATTATACCAGACTCCTATGAGTGGTTTTTGTCTGTGGCTTGGGGCCTCTGGGCCCCAAGTTCCTAAGTGGCTACCAGGGCAAGGCCTCATTCATGCACCCCAGATTCCAAGTGTGCAACTCTGCAAAGGAGTCCGTGGCCCAGCTTGGAGGCAGACCCAAGCCACCCCAGGGCTGGGAATGTGTGTTATTAGAGAATCTTTCTGAATCAATCATTAGGATTAGATTAAATGAAAACAGAGCGAGGCATAAGTGGCTCACACCTGTAATCCTAGTTGCTCAGGAGCCTGAGATCGGAGAATCAACCAAAACTAGCCCAGGCAGACAGATCCAAAAGACTTCACTAACAAACAGCTGGAGGGGAGATTTGGCTCAAGTGGTAGAATACCAGCCTTAAGAAAGCTAAGCAAGGGGCTGGGAAGGTGGCTCAGTGGTAGAGCGCTTGCCTTGCATGCGTGAGGCCCTGGGTTCGATTCCTCACCACCATATAAGCAAAAAGGAAAAAAGCTGGAAGTGGCGCTGTGGCTCAAGTGGTAGAGCACTAGCCTTGAGCTGAAGAGCTGAGGGACAGCGCCCAGGCCCAGAATTCAAGCCCCACGACCTACGGAAAAAAAAGAAAGCTAAGCAAGAGTATTAGGCTCACCGGGTGCCAGTGTTCACACCTGTAATCCTAGAGATTAGCCAGCCTGGGCAGGAAAGTCCGTGAGACTTTTTTTGTTGTTGTTGTTGGTCGTGGGGCCTGAACTCTGAGCATGGGCACTGTCCCACAGCTCTTCAGCTCAAGGCTAGCGCTCTACCACTTGAGCCACAGTGCCAATTCCGGCTTTTTCCACCTATGTGGTGCTGAGGAATCAAATCCAAGGTTTCATGTATGCAAAGCAAGCATTCTACCACTGAGCCACCTTCCCAGACCTCCCCAAGACTCTTATCTCCAATAAATTACTCAGAGAAGGCTGGAAGTAGTGCTGTGACTCAAGGGGTAAAGTATTAGCTTTGAGCACAAAGAGGCTCAGGGACAGCGCCCAGGTCCTGAGTACAAGCCCCAGGACCAGCAAAAATAAAGTAGTAGGTACACACACACACACACACACACACACACAGAGCAGATACTACATAGATTTGATTTTAGTATAAAATAAAGAAAAACCTCCCCCACGGTATAACCCCTGCTTTCACTGTATTTGATGTTGGTATAATTTGTGGAGGGGAAGGAAAAAAAACCAAATCATTTAAATAGGGATACAGGTGGACACATTGCAGCAATGAGATGTACAGTCGTTATGTCGAAAAAACGAACTTTACAACTTTGGCGGGGGAGGGGGAGGGATGGGCAGGGATGGGAAGGGGAAACAAAGGAGGAGGCAACAATGCTTGAAAAGAAATATACTCGGGGCTGGGAAGGTGGCTCAGTGGTAGAGCGCTTGCCTTGCATGCATGAGGCCCTGGGTTCGATTCCTCAGCACCACATAAGCAAAAAGATAAAAGCCGGAAGTGGCGCTGTGGGTCAAGTGGTAGAGCGCTAGCCTTGAGCTGAAGAGCTGAGGGACAGCGCCCAGGCCCAGAGCTCAGGCCCCATGACCCGACCCGAAAGTAATGTACTCATTATCTTGCCCATGTAATTGTAACCCCTCTGTACGGTATTTTCACAATAAAATAAATAAATAAAAAATAAAGTTCACCAGTCTTTGGATGCAAAATGAAGGCTGTGTGTGCGTGTGCGTGTGTGTGTGCGGGTGTGTGTGTGCGCGCGTGTGCGTCTGTGTCAGGCTGTGCGTGTGTGCGCGCGCGTGTGTGCGTGTGTGCGCGCGTGTGTGTGCGTGTGTGTCTGTGTATGTGTGTGTCTGTGTGTGTGTGTGTGCGTGTGTGCGTGCGCGCATGTGCGTCTGTGTCAGGCTGTGCGTGTGTGCGCGCGTGTGTGCGTGTGTGTCTGTGTACGTGTGTGTTTGTGTGTGTGTGCGTGTGTGCGTGCGTGTGTGTGCGTGTGTGTGTTTGTAGTCAGCTCCACATCTGAGTGACACTCCAAGTCCTAAGGTCTTTTATTTTCAGTCTGTCTGTCTGTCTTCCAGACACACTCCAGCAAGGTAAGAAAGAAGTCCCGTGGGTTTCCACCATCCTCCCCGCCCCCCTCTTCAGAGCTCTTCTGCTCACACCCTGTTCAGCAAGTTTCAGTATGTCTGCAGTATTTAACCCAGGGTGTTGTCTGGGGGTGGGAGCAGCAATTCTGTTTTGTTTCCCCCTCTTTTACCAGTTTACATAATAACTGAATTGTGCGCTCCTAGAACAAGTTCAACTGGCACTAACAGGTTTGAGAACAGCCTGAGTGGCTTCGGGCTGGCACTGCAGTCACGTGATGGCGCAGACGTTGAGGCCCTCTGAGAAGAGCCTCCAGCCTGCGTGCCCTGGACCACACAGACCACCCCGATCCCCCTCAGCTGGGAGGGAGGCCGAAGCCCTGGACCACACAGACCACCCCGATCCCCCTCAGCTGGGAGGGAGGCCGAAGCCCTGGACCACACAGACCACCACCGATCCCCCTCAGCTGGGAGGGAGGCCGAAGCCCAGGAGCTGGACATCTTGTTAAGAGAGTTTTCTGTTTGCTGCTGCTGTTGTTTTCAGTACTGGGATTTGAACTTAGGGCTTTGCACTTGAGTTACACCTTTAGCCCTGTTTTTCACAGTTTTTTTCCCCCTTGGTACTGGGGCTTGAAGTCTGGGGCTGTGCTTGAGGCTAGTGTTCTACCACTTGAGCCACAGTTCCACTTCTGTGGAGGTTAATTGGAGATAAGTGTCTCACGGACTTTCTTTCCCAGGCTGATTTCAGCCACCTGCGTGGCTAGGGTTAGAGGAGTAAACCACCAGCACCTGCCTTTCATTGGTATTTATTTATTTTTGTCAGGCCTGGGGCTTGAGTTCTGGGCCTAGGTGCTTTGATGCATAAGGCTAGTGGCTAGCCCTCTACCACCTAAGCCACTGCCCCACTTCTGGCTTTTTGTGGTTAATTATTGATAAAAGTCTCACGGACTTTCCTGCCCACACTAGCTTTGAACTGCGATCCTCAGACGTCAGCCTCCTGAGGAGCTAGCATCTGGTGCCCAACTCTGAGACACACAGTTCTCAGAGTTGGCAGGAGCAGAAGCAGGGATGATGCTCCACCAGTGCCCTCTAGTGGTGAGGATGCGTGGTGCATCCGGGCTCCTCCAGCCCTCCCTCCTCCCAGTCTTATGGGAGCGGGGAGGAGCTGGAGGCATTTTGGTCCCACATCTCATCGCTGGGCAGACACTGGCCTAGCCTCAGACCCTGCCAGCCAGCTTGTCGCTGTCACCAGAGAGAACTGAATATGCGCGTTCCTGGGACAGGTTTGACAGATCCCTGGGGGCTGTAGCTGCCACCTGGGGATTTCCCTTTTTGGAGTAGTTCTGGGGTTTGAACTCAGGGCCTCACATTTGCTAGGTGGGTGCCTTCACGCTTGAGCCACGCCCTCTGCCCTCAGGCTTCCCGCTGTTTCTCTCTGTTAGCCTTGAACTTCAAAGCCTAGGCTCCTGTTTCAAAACACCCCTAGAGCCTGAGAATGAGCGTGGTTGATTTGCTCCTGTGGTTGATTGAGACAGGGCTTCCCAAGTAGTCCCG